CCCCCCCCCCCCCCATGAGTTCGAGAGCAGAACCAGAGTCGGTGAAGACCACAACGTCCGGGAAGGACTTTCGTTTCGCTAGCCGTTGGTAAACCCTCTTGAGAGCTACCAGTATGGCCTCGATTTCCGCATCGAGGCTCGTTGCATTACTACCGCATGGGCCTGATAGCTCCTCGGGTGGAGCTATCTCTGCGGGATACGGGATGAGGGCACCGTATCCGCTACGCTTTTCCCTCGTGAAGCACGAGCCGTCTGTGAAGACTTTAACCAGGCTGTTCGGGTAAGCTTCAATCGTGCGTCGTACAGCCTCTGTTGAGGACTGCCTTCGCTGGTTTTAGTGTCAATAATTTCCAGTCGAATGTTTGGTAGGGGGAGATTTTTGTGAGGTCCCCGCGCGGGGATCACTTTCACTTTTTCCCTGTTTCCGGGTAAAATGACGTCTTCTTCAAGACTGTGCACCGTGTAAATGAAGGATGGTCTCTTCAATCTGGACTTTTTTACCCATTCGTCCTGTAATTGGAAACAGGGTTCTTCCCTTCCCATGCGCCGGTAGCGTTCTACCGTCGTAAGGACTGCCTTCTCCCGCCTGACCTCGAGCGGTTCGACATTGGCCATGATTTCCACCGCCGCCGTGGGTGTGGTCCGTATTGACCCGCATACAAACCTTAGAGCACGGTTTTGAATGCAGTCCAGTTCCGCTAGAGCCGTGCGGCTCGCAAAAGTCTGGACGGGCAAACTGTAGTCCATAGTTCCCCTCACACTGCTAAGGTAGAGTGACCTTAACAGTCTTGCATCTGCGCCCCATCTAATCCAAGCCAGCTTTTTCACCAAGCCCAGTTTTTGTGAAGCTTTGGCGCACAGTTCGTGCACATGGTGGTGAAGCCGGAGTTTCTGATCCAACTTTACCCCCAGGTAGACTGGTGTCCTGTCCCATACCAAATCTTTCCCGTTTATGGAGAGTTTTACATCGACCTTAAGCGCCTTCCTTCCATTGGTGAACTTAGAGTAAACCGTCTTCTCGGTGTTCACAACCATTTTCCACCGGCCCTTACGGAAGCCACCTTGCGTCGGTTGTAGGCACTTATTACTCTACAAGAACCAGTAGAGTCGTCCATTTACCATTCGCTCGGGCACTTTTCCCACACAAGACGTTAACGATATCGGCCTGAAACTACTCGGTAAATGGCCTGGTTTTCCTTCTGTTGGTACTGGAACTACTATGGCCTGCTTCCACACTTTCGGTAAAATACCTGTAGTCCAAGTTCGATTAATGAGAGCCAGCAGAAGTTCTCTCCCCTGTTTGCCCAGATGGGTTAACATTTCATTGTGAACTTTGTCTGGTCCTGGTGCTTTCGCCGCCAAGCACTTGTCTAGTGCGCTACGCAATTCTTCCATTGTGAAGGGAGTTGTGAAAATCTCGGGATGAGGTCCAGTGCGCTGGATACGAGCTCACCTTTTTCTCAGACGGCGGATTTCCAAATGCTCTTGGGTCACTTTTGTCTTCTTGTTCACTTTGGTGAAGTGAACATTGGGCACCTTTCCCCTTTTTGCGTCGCTCGCCTCGACGCCTTTGCCTGATAGTAATGGTTGCGGGTTTTTGGCCTTCCCCGCACCAGAGAGACTTCCGAGCAGATTCCACACCTTCCGACCGTCTTGGAGATCACGTTTTTCACACGCACTTACCCACTTCCATTTTTTCGCTTTCTGAACATCTGATCGGACTTCAGCCGTACGGCGATTGTAGCCTGCACGAGCAGTAGGTTTTTTCTTTCTCGCGGCTTCCTTCCGAGCTTTTGCTCTTTGCTTCACGAGTTTCCCAAGCTCTTTGTTCCAAAAAGGCTTGTACGGTCGCTTCCCGGTCGTTCTCGGGATCGTCTTACGGGCGACCTCGAGGAGAACGCCATTAAACTTCTCGAAAGCAACATCTAAGTCTGAGTCGGCCACGTCGACTGCAATTAGTCCAAGCTTGGTCTCACACTGACTTTTAAAATTTTGCCAGTTTGCTCTTCGGAAGAGCCAATGACGTTTATCGCACTTGGTTTTGGCCTGTCCCAAGTCAATCTCTAGTAATATGGGCAGATGGTCACTCCCAATGTCTTCCAGTACACTAAGATTCTGATGTCCCGCGAGGTCAGCGGACACGAGCGTCAAATCTGGCCTAGACTCCGTTCCATGGCCGTAGTGAAGAAGAGTGGGTGCACTCTTCTCGTCCTGGAGTCGGATAAGATTAGTTTCGAGACAAACTTCTTCCACGTGCTTACTGGAGCCGTTTCGCTCCGGATAACCCCACATGGGGGATTTGGCATTGACGTCTCCTGCAATTATAGTCCGTTTAAAGATCGTCTCCCCGTGGGTAGGAATCGTGATCACATTGCTTGGAGAATTATAAACGTTCGTCACGGCGAACGTTTTCCCACATTTATGGACTTTAACCGACAACGTGTCAGTATTGGCATAGCGTTTGCACTCAATGACCTCCACCGCGAGATCATTTCGAACCGCTGTGGTAATGCCATGGCAGCGGTCACACTTACAATGTTATTGTGAGTAACCAATGATGTGAAACGGCTTGCCGCGGAGCAACGTTTCTTGGAATAGCCCTACGTCCACTTTAAGATCGTGGAGTAGTTTGGTTACTTCGTGCGACTTTTGCCTGATACCACACACATTATCTGGAGCACGACCAGGGAATGTTTTAGGTGTCCCGTACCACCTTTCCGATCTCGAACAGTCACTTGTTGGCCTCGCGCGCGCCTGTCGAGCGTCACACGCGCGAGAGGGGACACCATCCCCAAGGGGACATCCGTGGGGAGAGGATGCAGTCCACGCACCACATCTGTAGCATTACCCGGTTCCACCCAGTCTCCCAACAGTGGGTATCGAGGGCCTTTTAAGGAAGCCACGGTCGGTGGGGAAGGATCTTGTCCAAGCCCCACCAGTCGAACCTGCGTCAATGATTTATTTGCCATGTCATGAGTAAAGAGGGGGTTTAGCAGAAATCTTCCTCCCATTGAGGAGAGGGCTTTGCGTTACCCCCTCTCTTGCTCAGTGGGTCTTTCGGTCGGGACTTACGAGCAGTGTGTGATCGTTGGCTTCCGGATGTGAATCCGTACTAGTCTCCCACGCTACGAAGAGGCAGATCACGTGTAACACCACCACGAGCTAAGTGATGTGACTTTCCCCCAGTCCAGCGCAAGCCATCCTGAGGGAAACTCGGGAGAGAGCTGTTACTAAAATAGGCAATCGCGCTATGACGTCATTTGCGTAATTATTAATATAAATGTTATTTTATTTTTAACTCGCAATATTAACAACGCACTAAAATACGCACTAAGAATAACAGAATCAGATGTTTGGGTTTTCCCAATAAACGTGGATTAAGATGCAATTCTGAGATCATAACATATTTATACATAAATTTGTTCATAACTTTCACATTCGGATATAATAGTTAAAATAGTTCCTTAATTGTTACTTTAAATATATTTGTAATTTATAATAATAATACCTAAGATTTGGCTAAAATAAAAGCAAATATAACAAATGTATTTACATGTAAACATGTAAATTTATTCCACTTCCATAAAATAATAGAAAATAACTAGGATTGTTTTTAAGAATCCGAACGTATCAAAATAGTTTCTGTCTTTAAGCTTTATGTTATTCTAGCTCATTCTTATAAATATTTTAGGAAAGTTTGTAAAATATTATTTTTTTAACCATATAAATGGGTGAAAAGTCAATTTTTTAAAATACTTAAAAAAATATAATTTTTAGCCATTCGATTCATGTACTTAGAATCGTCCGACACATCGTATTACGCATCAATGGAAAGCTTTATTTATTAGAATTTAGATAAATATAGCTTCCTGTCACAATAGTTACTGAAAACACGTAAATCAGCATGGAATCTTGGTCAAAGCGGTTTTATTTCTGAGCTAATTATAGTTTAACCTAATTTCTGACATATCCACCTTGATTATTAATAAAGCACGCATGTGGTTTGGACTGGTTACACTGGTGCCCCACTGGTGGAAAATTTACGCACACACACACATATTTATAAATGGGCAATTTACCATTTTTTTTCAATTTTGTATCACCTCCTGAGATTGTGTCACCCGGGGGGGTGTGCGCCCCCCCCCCCCCCAACAAAGCGGCAGCGAAATCCCTAAGTAGATCTAGGGTAATTTATACAGAAATGGTTGCACCTCCCCAAATTAGTGAACCGTGTGCAAAATTGGGTCACAAGTACTCATGTGACATTTCAACTTCCGCCAGGTAGCAGTGGTAAGAGAGTATCCGAGTACACACACAAATTGTTTTTATATTATTTGATGGCATATTATTCAACCTTTTTTAATTTGTAAAAGAGACGAAAGTGTTTTTTTTTTATTTAAAACGAAGAGCGAATAATTTTAAACTCATTTTAAAATCAAATGTTTTAATGATTATAGATGCTAAGAAAATAGTCTTTTCAAAAGCAAATACCGATTTAGAATAAATATCGATACCTGTAAATAAACGGATATTTTTATCTTAAAGAGACATTTGTGGTGTTTCGTGGCATTGCGTAAGATTGGTCACTTTCGTCAATTTTTGCTTGTGATGTAAGTGACTACACTGTTCAAATGTGAAGTACTTCTTTCATTATTAAGTTAATTTCGTCTTATAGTTTTGAAATTAAATGTATTTCGTTCAAAATTGTGTGAAGGATTGTTTTTACTGTAATTACATAAGTCCTCATTTAATTTTTGTTTCCGCCATATTGAAAATTAAGTTACGTAGGTAGTGTTTTAACATTTATTCTTCTTCCTATTCCTAGTATTTATTTAACACATTTCACTTAATTGCAGTTGCAGCTTTGCTAAATTATTTTTTAAACAATGTCATATGATACATTTTTAACATGAAGGTTATTGAAGTTATGGTAGTTAACTAGAATCACAAGCCTGACAAGTAAACTATAGACGACTATAATAACTATAAATAATATAATATATAGTAAGTTAGATACTTTTGAAGTTGAACAAATTAAGAAATTAAACATCTATAAGATAGCCCTTGTTAAATGAAGCAATAATATGTTTTCATGTAGCACTTTTGGTTAAAAAGGTATTTTTTTTTTTTGTGAATTAAAAAAAATCACTTTTTTTAACGGGAAGCGTTATCCACACAGCTCTGTGAATAACGTTGAGCGTTATCGGCAGACCGAGATCTGCGAATAACGCCGAGCGTTATCGGCAGGCCAAAAATCTGCGAATAATGCAGAGCGTTATTGTTAGACAGAAATGTTCCCATAATTACGCACATTTCTAGAAATAATTAATTCCAATCCGGGGTAGGGGTGTAGTTTTAAGTAGTGAAGGATAGATCGATCGTTAATGAGAATGGCACAAACACATCTCAAAACCGAAGCTACTGGTATGCACAAGTTAAATTTAAAAAATTTAATAGGCCTAAATATAGCCTAATATATTGGATATAGGACAATTAATTGTGCCTACATCTGCTCTGTTAGGCCCAACATATTCAACCTATAGAGTGTTACTAATAGATCCAGTCAAACCTCCTACTCCTAGACTAGACATAGCTAATTTTCTGGTATTTCATATTAAATGTTATACCAGTAATAAAAATGGTACCGGTATTCTTCATGTAGACTCACTTTCACCCATTGTAGAGATGTCTTTAAATGATGTCAAAGCTTGATAGGATATCGTTTAGTTTTTTTTAAAGCACTATGATATATCACGTAGTCCAGAAATGTTCTGACAGAAATAGTTGACATGCCGTGCAACAGTGTTATGATGCAGAGAGGTGTCTCCATCAGGCGGCCATCTGAGAGACGGGGAGGGGCATATAGGCCCTACATCGATAATAACAGAATCTAATCCTGTTTAAGGCTAGTATTTTTTCCTGATCCTTGAGGGTGTCCCTAAGTCTACCCAGCTCTGGCCTTAGCTGGGGAAAAGTAAAGCTGGCTGGTTATTGCGCTGGCAATACACTCACACTTACTTGTAAAAGCTGCTTCAATTGCCCCAAGGGAACTTTACTTCCCAAAGACTCGCAATGCATCCTACGACCAGCAGGGTTCCAATTAATTTCTGTATGCTTTTTTTTATATTTAGACCCATAGTTACAACAGTGACAGTATGACTTTTTGTTTCAATTATCATTTTTTTTACAAGAGCTAAAAAGTTTTATGTCAATGATATTGATATGTTTTAAGTACGGTACCGATATGTTCATTTCATTGTCATCACTAAATGTTATTTCAACTCTTTCTGGAGCGGCATATTGTGTCCCTACTTATTATGATACTTATTAGAAAATAAAATGAAACAAATAAAACGTGACATATTTTTTCAGCTAAACATTAATACACAACTCTGAGATCTAAAATATTTGAATAAGTAAGCTATTAATAAGTATTTGTTTATTAGAGAAAAAACAAAGGGATGTTAAAGACTATGAGTGGAATTATACAAAGAAAATTAAACAGTCAAAAGAGCTAAAAGTATATCACAATGTACAGTTAGAACAGCTGTATCTGACTTAAACAGGGTTTATGCGGCTCATCTGCATGTCCATGTTGTTTACAGTTTTTTGACGAAACTTGAATGAACATTCTAACAAAATAGATTGAAACTTGTAACATAAGTAACAAAACTATATGAAAATAATAAATGCTGCAAATATGGTATTCCAGTGTTTGGAAAAATATGTGCTCTACGTCATCGATAATTTAAATACTATTATGAGCAAACTGACCTAAAGCGCATAATTCCGAGGTCACCTTAGAAGCGATTGTAAGATCGCCACTTTTTTGCGTCTTTTTTCCACATGCGCAAACTGAATGCACGAGCGGTGATTGATAAGCCTACCTAAACCTAACCTGAACCCTAAAATGTATCCCTAAGCCTAAACTGTAAGAAAAGTATTTAATGTAATCGATAACAAAACAAATTTATAATTTGAAAACTGTGACGTAGAATGTAAAAATCCTAGTACACCACAGAGCCGATTGTGAAATGCCAACAAAAGTTTTTCCATGATTTTTCAACTGCGCTAAAGGGATTCGTGGGAGACTTTGAAAGTGCCTATCTAAACCTAACCTGAACCCTAATTCACGGCAACTTAAATAAACACGCCAATGGCGTCGTGTGGCATCCTCAACTAGTTTCAGCCTAGATTTTAAAAATTGTCTTATAGCCAAAAGCAGATCTGTCTACTCTAACGAATTGTCAATGTTATTGTTTATTTTTTTACTATGTTTAAGGGTAAATAGGTCTGCAGAAAAGATATATCCAGACCTGTTTACTCTTGAGATTTTGCGAACAATGTACGATTTTTGGTAATCTTGCAGTTCAATTGTGTATATTATTTTGAGCTTAATTAGATGTTCTGCTATTTTATAGGGGCCCATAAGTCTTTTTTTTTTTTTTTCTTATATGGGGTGTATGAATATGATTCCAAACAAAGGCTCGGGCATGGGCGAATGGAACGAGATCAAACTTAATACACTTGATTATCTATTTTAAAAAACCAGTACGGAAAGGTAATGAAAGGTAATCTTGCAGTTCAATTGTGTATATTATTTTGAGCTTAATTAGATGTTCTGCTATTTTATAGGGGCCCATAAGTCTTTTTTTTTTTTTTCTTATATGGGGTGTATGAATATGATTCCAAACAAAGGCTCGGGCATGGGCGAATGGAACGAGATCAAACTTAGTACACTTGATTATCTATATTCAAAAACCAGTACTGAAAGGTAATGAACTCATAATTTTATTTTGTCCTCAAGCTAGCCAATATACACGGTGTGGCTCATGATTGCATATAGAAATGAACATCTTTAAAAGCCCTTTAGCTAACTTTAGACGGCCCATTTTTTCGGAATATGCTTTCAATCTGGCATGTAGGTTGAATTTTTAAAAAAGCACAAGAAAAAGGAGAGATTGTTTACCCTACCGGCTATGTACCTATGGGGGCTGTAAAAATCAATAAAAAGAAAAGTTAGTGCTAGTGTTAACTAAAACTGTCCAGACTAAGTTATATAAGGAATACACATAAGTTTACACATGATGATACAAATTTTGATCAGAAATAATATACGCCACTGGATTGCAAGATTACCCGATTTTTAATGTCTTTTACGATTGTGCGCCTGACAGAACTATGATTTTTTGTAAAGAGTGGGTTGAAAATATATACTTTATATAGTAGGTACTTTGATTTAAAAAAACAACAACTTTTTGTAAAAATAAACCAATTGCATAGTTTAATAGAGCTTATTTTTTAAAGAATTAAAACACATAAATCATATGTTTAGCTGTTTTAGTTTTAAAGTTATGCATTTTTAAAGTACAACTTCATTTGTCCTTTTTTTAACATGGACAGCATCTCCACATTCTGTGGATACATAATGTAAACTTTAGCCCCTTTCATTTACCTTTCTAAAAATATATACTTATTGCGGGTAATTTAATGCTATTTTAAAAGGCTCTCAAAAAGCTCTGAAAAGCTTCCACACTACAGAATGATTCTATCCTACAGGTTGTGGGTTAATGTATTTCCTATAATAGTATAGCTAATTAAATGTTGTCCTTTTTTTTCAACAGATTTTTTAATTTATTTCAATCACTGAGCACAGTTAAATCCTTTGTCATGGCTACAAAAGTCTCCAGATTTAGTGAATTCCAGAAGAGTCCTCATGATTTACGCAAAAGGAGTTTAACTCCGACTGATGCTAAAAAGAAGCAACCTAATTTGCATAAACTTTTGAAGAAGATGTGTTTCTTATTCCATAAGATCAGTTATAAACTGGAAGGGGATTGTCCGATTGATGTTGGTGACCAAGCTTTGGCAGTTTTCATTTTGACCTCTAAAGATGTCAACAAACCAATGGTAAACAATTATGCTTGTTTAAATACATTAGGTTTCATTGTTGTTTCCGTCAATGTCATTGTCCGTATTGGGTTGGGATCCCAAGGGATTTAATCTGGAAATTAATTTTTAAAGGGGCCCCCTATCTCAGGCAATTATTACAGTACACTTATGGAATGGGCCACCAATAGGGGCCCCTCTTAACTTTTACTATTACTATACTGTGACTATAAAAACACAGGTGGTTCAGCCCACGAAAAATAAATATTTAATTATAGAAAAAATACTTTAGTGCACACATATTACACACAATATACATATGTAAAGAATAGGGGTGTGCCGGAATCCGGTTCCGTCGGATTTTGCACTATCCGGTGAAATCCGGTTCCGCCGGATTTACAAGTATCCGGAACAACCGGAATATACCGGATTTCGGAATTTGCCAGATTTTGTGACTCACCGGATCACAGACCTGTTTACTCTTACGATTTTGGCGTACAATGTACGATTTTTAGATGTCTTTTACGATTGTACGCCAAGACACGCCAAAACTACGACTTTCAGAGACCCGGTGGAAAAAATTTTCCCCTGATTTCAAAACATTAATAAATTTTCGGGTTTGGACGTTTTAGCCCTCTGTAATGAAGATCTGGCAGTGAATATGAACGAGAAAAACGATTGGTTGGATTTTTTTTTTTTTTTTAAAGTTGGGACCATCCTTTTTATATTTCGAAAGCACTCATGGGGACTGGGGGAGGTGGAGTTGTTGATGACGGAAATTGTGGCATATGAGACACGCATGGGTAGGGGATTGGTGGGAGTGTCAAAGGATATAAATAAATAACCCCGACGTATCATATTGAGGGGATCACAGTGAACTAGCTGGCTGCTGCGTCAACAGTAATATTTGGACTAGTCGCCCTAGCGACAACTTCACTCACCATCGCCTTTGACTGCTACCAAGCGTGTGACGTAGTTTTGGTACAGAATTATTTTGTTCCTCAGAACCGCGGCGATTGTAAAACTAGAGATGGTTTTTTAAATAAAATAGATGATCCAACTGTTCTGCAGTGGAGCGTTGGATTTTGGCATACCGGTATTTTATAAGATCCAGTCAGCGACATTTACAAAATATATGGAAATATTTTGTAGTTTTATCTATTTACTATAGAGATATTGTATTGTACGATTTTGAGACCAGATTGTACGATTTTAGGGGTTTGAGGGTAAACAGGTCTGCCGGATCATAATCTGAAATAAAAGTAATTCTCTTTCCCGAATTCCACACGATCACGATGCATTAATCGATTGTTTCGAGCGTTGAGCTTGTTTAATGTTTAATATTCCGAACATACCAGAGGCTAGAGTCAGCACCGCTAATAGTGGCCAATCGGCCCAATCCCATTCATGATAGTGCCAACTGTTCAGAAGGCATCCAACCCCTCAGATTTAGCGGTATCTGCAAAGTACCGGAATCCGGGAGAAACGGGAATCCGGATTATTCCGGATCCGGCGGATTTCGCATAAGAAAATCCGGATCCGGTTGGAAAAAACGGATCCGGCACACCCCTAGTAAAGAATAACTAGTATACTCTCTAATACTATTGAATACTATGTTACGACTGGCTATCTTGCCCTTTGTAGCAGGTCCGGTCCACAACACAAACATCAGTCTTGTTTGTTTGACCCCCTCTCTGTCTCGCTATTCTCTACACGGCCTGGATAGAGTCTGTGTTTATCTCTCGTAGGCCTACACTTGGATTCTTTACTTAGGATGTAACGCTAGTCTAGTCCTTAACCTACTGACTCTGACTGACTGGTCTATACTCTATGGCAGTGGTTCTCAACCTTCCTAATGCCGCGACCCTTTAATACAGTTTTTCTTGTCGCGGCGACCCCCAGTCACACAATTATTTTCGTTGCTACTGTAAGGATATGTGTTTTCAGATGATCTTAGGCGACCCCTGGGAAAGGGTCGCGCGACCCACAGGTTGAGAACCGCTGCTCTGTGGTATACTGGCTGTATACTGACCTCAACTCTACTGAACTATACTAAACTAAAGTCAACTGTACTGAGTCTCAACTCCACTGTTCTCAACTATAATAGTCTATTCTCGACTGGCTAGAAATGAAATTAATTAATGCAGCCACTGGCGTAACTAGGGTCGGTGTCACCTGGTGCGGTAAACTCATGGTGTCACCCCCCCCCAACTTCCATGATGGATTTCTTGTTGTTAAAATCAGTCCACTGTATAACAATAACAAGAACAAAATCACATAAATCGAAGGTCATGAGGTCAATGTATTTAAAATGTTAAGTTATAGTTGTATTTACATTAAATGTACTTTTTTGAAATTTTCCCTTCCTTGTTTTCAAAGCTTTAAACCAGTAAATCACTTGATCAAAATCAACATCCTTCCTGTATTATTTTCAATTGATAGCAGAGCCATATCAGAAAGCCTAGACTGTCCTATGGTGGATCATAAATATTTCTTGATAAACCTTAGGCTTTAAAAGCTCCGCTCACATAAACCCACATACACACAAATCAAAAGGAAAAATTGAATGCTTAGCGAGAGTATTGGAAGAGATTCTAAGACTTTAAATTAGGCTATGAATTTCAAAACATCGAATACTGACCAGTCCATGACTTTGAGAAACCAGCTGCTTTTAGATGTCTTCTAAGCTTTGATATTTCTTTTAAAGGTTCATCTTCTGATAACTCATCATGAAAGAAGTTAATTTTGGAACGGACACCACTAACTCTTCTTCACTTGCTTCACTCTTTGGGTTGAACAGCCCCAAAAATATCTGCTACTTCCTTGATCGCTGATTATCCGATCTGGATTTCAGAATGAAAACGATCAATACACTCCAGCATCTCCCTACTGTGTTCTTCTCTCAGAAAGAGTCCAGCATCTATTAATTGTTCTCCTGTCATTCGCTTCATAAAACTTATTCTTCTCGGTACCGAAATTCCAAATTGGTCTGATTTTAAAAGTGCATTTTCGATAGCATGTTCAACCAAATGACAGGGCTTCTCGGGCAGAAACAATCTTAACGCCTCTAGGTTGGCCACTCCTTTGTCAAGAGTAAAGTCTTAAGTCTGCAGATACTGCTGTGTAAGATTAACTTCCTGAAGTAGATCAGCGCAAAGGTAGTAGCGGGGAACCTTGTGGAGGAATCAGTGATGGAATCTCAATGCAGGCCACAAGTATGTTTTTATAGGTTATAAATGCCATGGACACCAAATATATGTATAATATATGAAGAAACACTTGGTCAAGATGCTAAGATTTGAACCACCATGGGCTTGGCTATACAAATTTCCATAATTGCTACATGTGAGATAACCCTAGCTATTTAAAACAAATAATACCATTACCTTAACAAACAATCATACATGCATATGTATAATATTTAGTCACAGAAGACCTGCCTAAATAGGAGCCAGAATGATGAATTCATTGATCGTGGGCCCTCAAGACCTAGAAGAAGAAGATAAACGTGAAATCACAGACAGCATGTAACGACCTTGTGCTGTACCTCTTTGTATTCAAACTTTCAAGAGGATTACATAGGGCTTCAATCACCACCACACTTTCATAAAACTCATCTTTTAACAGCAGCATGATGAGCACTCCAACGCGTTGACAGTCTTTTCAATGAAATTCTAGTGTGTTCAATTAGAACATTCCATCGATTAGTGGATGCAGCAAAGAAGGAAAATATTCTTTCAAGAGTACCGAAAAATGTAATATATGAAGCCATTTCTGCTAAAGAGTGTTGACCACAAAAGTTAAGTCAATGGCCCACACATCCACTAAAAATTGCTTTCTTAGTATTTCTTTTCAGAATGGCTTGAACACATCCATGGATTCCAGACATTGTGGCAGCATTATCGTAACCTTGCGCTCTGAACATCATTATTTCTAGTCCATTACGTTTTAGATTTTTAAGAATGTCAGAACTGAGGTCATCAGTTTTTTTTCCCTCTTAACGGGAAAAATGCAAGAAATACTTCACTCACTTCAACATTCCCATTGTTGATTTTAACGTATCTGATCACTTCAGACATCTGGTCACTGTATGATATATCAGGTGTACTTTTGGACATTATTCCAAAATCACGTCGAAGAATTTATATCCTTCATAATAATAATCTCCTTCACATGATTTGCAAGGACATTTACAAATGCATTTTGGGTTTCTGGTGAAGGTAAGATATGGATGCGTTTTCTGTAGATTTACTCCGCTTTGTTATCACTTTGTGCTCTTTTAGCACTGGGTCATATTTAGATAGCATCTTAACCATTTCAAGAAAGTTTCAGTGAAGATTCATTTTCATTGTGGCCACGAAATGCCAGATTTTGCTTGCAAGAAACAATGTGCTATCCAGCAACCTGTGCGGGATTTACTTCCACTTTTTGTTCTCCCTGTCCATCACAGCAATACATTCGGCATCAATTGTTTTGTGTATCTTATGTCCTGCTGCCAATGTTTCCTACTTTTCAAGGCAACATAGATGCTCTTCCGATGCTTCATGATTTTGTAATTTTGGCTCAAGTCCCACCACTTATCAAAGCCTGTAACAAATTTGGATGTTGTTTCTGTAACATTGACAGCAAACATTCTGCAGCATAAACACTACAATTTGTGACTGAGGAGTGAATAACCATCCACAAACGCAGTATTTTCTTGCCATTTTGCATCATCCTGTAGATCCATTGTTTTGTTAGTTGGCTCCTTTAGATTTCGCATTTAGCCTTGTCACTACACTGAAATATCCGTCCTTGTTCTGAAATGAGGTACTCCAAATTTTAATTGTTTCAGACCGAAAATTATTTGGAAATGGTACATTCCAGAAAGAAGCATTAGATAAAATGTGAATGAATGAAATAGCGAAACGAGGTATGTGGAAGCTTGAAATAAGATAACAGGATAAAAAAACAAGGCATAAGGCCTTCCTCAGCCAACAATAGAAATTAGGGATGTGCCGGATCCGGATTTTCTTATGCGAAATCCGCCGGATCCAGATTCCGGTTTCTTCCGGATTTTGGTACTTTGCAGATACCGATTGGCCACTATTAGCGGTGCTGACTCTAGCCTCTGGTATGTTCGGAATATTAAACATTAAACAAGCTCAACGCTCGAAACAATCGATTAATGTATCGAGATCGTGTGGAATTTGGGAAAGAGAATTACTTTTATTTCAGATTATGATCCGGTGAGTCACAAAATCTGTCAAATTCTGAAATCCGGTATATTCCGGATTCCGGTTGTTCCGGATACATGTAAATCCGGCGGAACCGGATTTCACCGGATAGTGCAAAATCCGACGGAACCGGGTTCTGGCACACCCCTAATAGAAATGAAAATATAACAAAGAAAAGAGCACAGTAGACAACTCAAGCAGTATCCATTCGTGTCGCCGGAAGTGGGAACACAGGAAGCGAGAGAATATAAATATTGACACTGTGAAAAATGAAGTCCACAATAATAATGGACCAGAATATCCAGGGATACATCAACACAGCAATAAGAAAATAGATGAAATATAGGGAAACAGAGAAACATTAGTCCTTTCATTTATATAGATAAAATGTGCCAGTTTTTGTCATTGTATCTTGGTTTGAATCAACATTATCGGCAACCATGCATGTCTTTTACTTGTGTTTTTACGTCAATATTTTCCATTTTCTCCACTATTTGCTGAAAATAATGCATGCTGCTGGTATCGGGAGAATCAGTATCAATGGGTGGCTGAGGAACGCCTTTTTATGAACCCAGACCCTGATCATCATTAGCTTTCTTGACATATCGAAGCATGTATTATGGTAGTGATTTTAGTGACTTGCATATTTTATTTTTCACTGCTGACAGCCACTTGGCCATTTAGATTTGTGCACGATGTGTGGCACAATATAATTATCTTGAACAATAAAAATGATTAAATTTTGTCATGTTCAATACAAGAAAAAAAGTAATTTCAAAAACAACAGTCAGAGCACTGTACAAAATACAACAGAGAAAGGTAGCAGGTAAAACCCAGCAGTCGAAATATGACAATCATGCTAAAAGTTAAGGGGTGATACTAGTGACGAATGGGGGAAAATATTAATTTTTGAACATTTCTGGTTTTCGATATATAATATTATATCTCTTCAAATAACCTTTCTTTATTTAAATAAATAAGAATAAATCATTAAAGGATTGCTAATTGTGCAAAATAATATATTTTTTTAAATCCATAAAATGGGTAAAAATTAATTTTTAATGTTTTTAATTTTTACCAATTCTTATAATTATAATGGCCCGACCACACTTATTTGGTATCAATGGAAAGCCCTATTTCTCAGAATTTAGATAAATATAGACTCCTGTCACTTACGGAATTTAACAAACACTGCAATCGGCGTGGAATGATGACTAAACTCCGAGTATATTTGCTAGTTATAAATATTTTCTATAGCAGATATGATTAAACACTTTGCTCTAATAACTTTATATTTTTAATGTAAGGGATTTGGTGTTCTTTAAATAAATTGTACATTGTAATTTATTGTCTTTTTTTATCCTCCACAGCCAATACCCAAAGCTGAATTACAAAATTTGGTTAAACTTGTTGATGATTTATTGCCTTTGGAAGGAGTTAATGATTTAGATGAATCAAAGGAACTGAAGAAGATCAATTCTGAACTTCAAAACTGCCCGGGGGAAAGTAACTCTTTATCAGGCTCTTCCATGTCATGGGCTGAGAATGTTTTGCATTTGTTAGGCTTAGAATACCAACACCTGGAAAACTACAGGTACATACTGGATTGTCCTGCTGGTGATCTTTATGGCCTTCAGCGACAAATTTGTCAGATTTGGGAATGCAGATATCATGAGATCGTATCTCATACTCATAATGATATTAACAGCCTTAAAAGCGATCTGAGTATTCTTGGATATTCTACATCTGTTGTAAAAAAAATAGCCTCAAGTATTCCAGATCCATTCATTAAGTGCCAGAATTCGCTGTATTGGTCTATCCGTTACTTGGCGTATAAGATGTTTAATAATCCTATGCTGGCCTATGTGCCAAGATATCCTTTTAAGGAGGAGATTTTAAATAAGTTGTTTGAGCAGGACTTGGAGGATTGTGATTGCAACTCTGAGGAGGTTTGGCCAGTCAAGATGATAAATGTCTCTGATGATGTGGGTGATACAAAGGTTGAACGGTATGTCATCTTATTCGTATATCCACATGATAATTAGAGTAAAATAGCTTCTCTCTGCATGGCATGTTTCCATTTTAATGTGGAAGAATAAGGTTATTAGACTGTAATTTCAAGAAGTTGGACACTATTTCTTTCACTTTGTACAACTTTAATTTAAATAAAGAATCTGTATGAACTAAATCAAGCATAATTAAACAATGGCTTATGTCTAATTACATCTAAATTCAATAAGGATCAGATTGGTGTCAAACTTAGGCTGAGATAATATTTTTTAAAAAACACACGAAATTAATAGTACCGGGTATTTCAGTTAATTTGTTCATTTTTTTTTGTGTGTTTTTTTTAAGCCTTAAATATCTTGTTCCGTTGGCTGAAACGCAATCCCCGTATATTAGCTACCGTACTTGTACAAATGAATTAAATTTTAATTTATGGCAATAGAAAATAATGTACAGGTAATGCATACTTGCAATTATCATTGAATTTTCAATTGGAATATCTGTACTGTTTCTCACACAGTTTTTGCCATTAGCAGGTTAAGGGCCTTGCTAATAGTATATACATTTTAAAATAGTCATATTCTTTTTAACCCCCCCCCCCCTGTTATGCATGTACTTAACTTTTAAGGATACACCCCTAATAGTGAGCTTTAGAAAAAAAAACATCCCAGATTCTCACAGCTGTCTAACAGGCCCATTGGTTTCCAAAATATGTACTACATCATCTGGGGCTGCACATTGTCCACTGGCAGGGCCAAGGGGTGGCAGGATAGGCCCATTAAAGGAAATCAAACTGTAAAGTCCTGTGTCCTTCATTAGGACAAGGGAAACCAATAATTATCTTCTCACTGGGCAGAACTTTTTTCAATATAGTTTCTGGATTTGTTTCAGTCAACAGTAACTCACTTGAGTACCAATAACTTGTTGAACTTGTTGCAGTTGCTAGATCACACTTTTTTTTTAGTGTTATGTACATAGGTGTTTTATTTATTTATTTTTAACTGTATGTCATAGTGTACATGTTAGAATTTAGCACAGTGCCCCTGTCAAAAACCTAAGTTGACATGGGTGTCATGAATCTTAGCAATTTTGGGAACCACTGGCTTAGCCGAAACAAATTATATCATACTAGTTATAGCCAGCCAAACACAAGCGTCATCAATGCGTGAACCTCCCATCTACTAAAGTTACTTGACAAAAACCTGAACTCGAGTTACACACATTTAAGAATGCCAATTATGCTACACACACACACCCCCTTCATAATACGTCACTGCACACTTTTCATTTTACGCCCATGAACTATAGCCGACCCGCAGCTTAGAAGATGCTGCGAGCTGGCTGGCAAGCGAGGGGAGTGTTTGCCTGCGTCTTGCTTGCTCTGGCGTAGCTATATAGTGTTTGACCGTCTTGTTGTTTGACCTTTGCTGGTAAATTATATATATATATAGATGCATGTTGAACTAAATATAACTACTACTTCTACCACTACTTATTTGGCCTCATACTAGACTAGAGCACGATGTTGCACTTTTTTAAAACCCCATTTACTCATCTTTATCATGCTGTCATTATTGCTACTTTTTTTGTTTTAGTATTAATTTCTATAGATTCTACTTCAATGTGTTCAATAGTTAAAACATTTGAGCCCTTTAGTAAATTTGGAGCATAAGCTTATAAAGCCATGATGAACTTTTTTGTCATTACCTTAATAATGATTGTAGATAAGATTTAGATTTCTTCTAAATGATGGGTCATGTCAAGTACTCAAAGGCCTCAAGGTGATGGTTTGGGCAGTAATGGCAAGGGGGGAAAAAGGGAGGGCAAATTACATATTGAAATATTTTTTACTTTTATCTTTAGGTATCTTGAGAGTCAGGGCTCTGGACTTTACTTCCATGGAACTTCACATTATGATGCGATGTTAATATTAAGAAGAGGTGTGGATTTGTCAGTGGGTTCCAGTGGACAAGACTTTTCAAGTGGAGATGGCTTCTATCTTTCTGATAGCTTAAAGAATGCAAGGCGATGGGCAGGTGCTGGAAGAGGCAAGAAGTACCAGGCAGTGATTGTGTATAAACTAAATCTTGCTGATCATGATGGCCTTGACTTGAATGGGGGCAGCGATGAGTGGCAGAATATTGTTGCCCTTTGCAGAGGTCAATATGAAAATAACCTACAAAAAATGGAACTTGTGAAGAATGTTTCATACATTAGAGGTCCTGCATGTATTAATGCAATCAGTGCCATTCAAAATAATACCACATTTGAATCAGAACAAAACATCCAACTGTGCATCAGAGATAAGGCTTTCGCCAACAGTGAGTGCAACGTTAAGAACATTTGCTGTGTAGTCTTCTATTAACGCATTCATTACGGCAGTGCTACTTCCTGTACTTCATTTTATACCTATGAAAGGGGGTTAACTCCGTTTTGCAATTGATTTACATTTGTAAAATATTTTTTAAGCTGCTAAATATTAATGTTAATGAATTAAAGGCATATTCATCAGAAAATGTATATAGTTTACTATAAATATAACTTAAGCGGCGAACAACTAAGGAACAATGACCTAAATATTGATTTTGACGCATTGCATGACCACATGCTGCGTACAGACGTGCCATAATAAAGCACTCATAGTTTTAAAGTGAATCTTCCAGTTTTTAAATTGAAATCTCGCAGAGTCAAGCCATCACTGAAAGTCTAGAGCGATGCAACATTTCATTGCTATTTTTAACTAAAGATAAGAGGGGTGTGTGGCTATGCACCATGAGGCATCCGTCAAAACATGCATTAAGTCGCAACCTTCTATCTTCTCATTGGCTTGACCGCTAAACATCCATATTATTCCCAGGTAAGGGGAATAACTCTAAATTACAAATTGAGTTCTTTTACAAAGTTCAACACATCTCACTAATTTAAATAAAAACCTATAGATGTGGCAAACATTTCATTATGTAGTGAAATGAATTATCTATCAAATAAGTATAGGTGTATTAATAAATTGCATAAAAAATAAAAATTAAAATGTTCGAAATTACGCAATAATTTCTATTTTACAGGACAATTTCTTTATCACTACTACTTTAATTACAATTATTTAAAACCAAATTTTCTTAAACTATAAATGCCATGCTTTCAGTTCAATATTTTAAAAAGCTTGCATGTTTCTCAATCTATTTCATTTCTGTTTAAAGGAAAAGGAAGTAGAACTTTTCTACTTTCAGCTATGGCTACTTTATTATATTAAACCAATGGTTCTGGTTCAATACATCCTTTATATGGTATGTGTATATAGCAGACGATGGCGGGCGATACAGTATAAAATGCTAGCAGGGGATATGGGAAGTTACTGGTTAAATTTAAACCAATTTCTCTCCAACAAGTTGGAAAATATGATTGTGGAACAGTGCTTTAAAAGATTTTAAGTGTTTATACCATTGTTTATCATTTATTGTAATATATATTTTTCGCTTAATTTTTTGTGATCCTTCAACATCGAATCTCAAAATACAAAAAGGTGGTGAAATTGAATTCCAATATTCAGACTGCATCATGCAGAACTCTTTCATTTTTGTATGTTCCGGGGTATTGACCTTTTTTTTCGGGGTGAACTCTGTATCAACTTTTCAGTACAGTTCTAACTCAATAAACTCCTTACCGGCCAACCAGTAATGATTCAACCTTGTAGCGGCTAGATCCCGCAACTCGACTGCCTGTTAACATTTTGTGATTTAAAGAGTGAAAATCTTGATATTTAAATGAAAATCATGTGAGAGATGAAACTAAGGCACACTGCTTAGGTTTTTTATAGATTTTCCAGGGATTATATATATATTTCTTTTTGTTAGTAAATGTTAGGATCATGTGTAGTTAAGTAAGTGTATTATTAGACTTTTACACAGGGAAATAATGTAGTACAAAACCTAAAGCAACCAATTAAGAATGTTTGTCACATTATTTCATAGATCTGTTTTGAAAATAAAATTTGTTTGAATTTATTTGTAACCTACAAATGTCTAAGGTAAAACTGTAGTTCCCCTTCGGCTGGGTTTACAAGTATTATTACAAGTGATCAATTTCTAAGCACCCAATATTGATTTTTGATTGGGATAACATTATTAACAAATAGTACTGCAACTGTAATATGAAGAGGTATTTTCTTTCGCATTGTGTCTATCTAGTGAAAGGCCTTTCTATCTACTACTTCTATCTTTATGTCAAAATATTTTTTTTTTTTTAAATTGATATATACTTATGAAATTGAAATGCTATTTTATATCATTACCGTAAAATGGGGTAACTTTGGTCCATTTTATGTGAAACATTGAATATTCCGACAATACCCGTAATTGTAATTATGAATTTAATAGTTAATCTCATGGGCTATAGCATTACCATTAAGTACAAATAATTCAAAAACGATTATTTCTTCAATTTTTTTATTATTTTAAAAAAATTATTAGTGGCCAAAGTTACCCCAACATGGGGTTACTTTGGCAGGCTATACAAAGAATATACAAAAACAAAGTTTGACAAAAATAGGGTACCTTGGCCACAAAAGATATTTTTTAAATGTAAAAATTAACACTAAATGATAATGTTCATTTAGTAAACTTCTCAAAAATGTTAGTAAATGTGCCTTTCTTAGGTGCTGGTAGCCATTCTTCATCTGAATCAGAAAAGGATATGTTGCCCATACTATCAGAATCACTACTTGTCTGATGTTCAGAAAGGTTAGCAGCAAGATCATGATGTGGTTGGTCTGCAATTACATTCTCTGTGCTGCTAGGAGAAGGAGAATCATGTGTGTCAGTATCTATAACCTCATCATCAGAAGGCCCAACAGCACTTTTTCCAGGCTCAACATCCAGACGATGCTTATGTCTCTGTGTTACCTCATCCTCTTTGCCAAACTGCATCTCTTGTAGGTGAGATAGGAATGAATCTGCAACTGATGTGTTGACAGAGTCCTCATTTTCATCATTGTGTGGAATATGCTTCAGGACAGGATCAGGGTCTGTGGGGGTAAATTCCAGATTTTCTAAATCCAGCCCTAATATTGTCACCAGCATTGAATACTTACACTTACTTTTGTGTTGTGAAAAAATACAAAGTTTGCAGTTTGAAAAAATCAATACAAAATGGCTGCCAAAGAAGAATGGTTGTATTTCTGCACCTAATGTAATAGGACACCAGCACATTGATTGAAAATATTTTGAAATGGTTTAATATTTGACACAATTTAGTTTCAATTGCCAGTAATAATTCAAAAAATAAATATACAATTTTAAATCTTTTTTCTCCCCCTGGCCCAAAGTTACCCCATTTTACGGTATGTGAATTGTATGATTTTAAGTTAAGATGTCTTTTAGATTGCAGGCCAAGACCTGCCAATGTGGATATGTATGTAGCAATAAAAGTGAATAACATTGAGTTTAATATTAATTTTAATATATTGTGTCGTATAAGAGTAAATGTACAGGGTTCCTTGTCAACTAAACAAAATGAAACCATGATAAGGATGGATGCGTCTGAAGAGCAGCCTTTATCCAAAATTTAAGTTTGGCGGACTGATCCGCGAGTTACCCCATTGCACCATGCCAGATTTAATTACACTGCTAATAAAGATCAATACTCGGAGGTCGAGATTCCATCTCTTAGGACCTCTGGCCGTGAAATCCCTGGGGACTCCGGCCATGCAACTCGGCCTTGAGTAACGGGGTTTTGGGCAGGTTTCTTCCACTCATGAAGGGACAGTTTTGCGTCCCAGTCCCCCTTGCCCATTGAGTATTACGGTCTGGACGTTGGGTTGGAACAGTTTTGCTTCCTCTCCGGAGATGGCGTTGCGTTGCCACCCCCACCGCCCAGGGAGCTGTACGTTCCTTGGTGCGGGACGGCTTTGCTTCCAGGGAGTAGTCACGAGCTTAACTTTCTCCCACCGTTCCTGAGAGTTGTGTGGACTTATGGTTCCCAACGAATTGTTGCCCTCCGGGAAGGCGTTGCGTTGCCTCAAACCCGCTGTTCCGGGAGCGGTTCGGTCTGGACTGTGATGGGTCAAAACGGCTTTACTTCCTCTCCGGGGGAGGCGTTGCGTTACCTCAACCCACCGTTCGGGGAGTTGTTCGGGCTGGACATGGCGAGGACGAAACGGTCGCCTAGGGGCGGCTTTCTCAGGGCCGCGTCTTTTTAATCATTGACAAGGGTTTGGGCGGCCATTCACTGCCTCATACCCATCAACGGCAACAAGTAATCATGTTAGCGCTTAAACTTCCGTTGCGTTGGAAGTCATGCGTTTTGCCTGGGATCTTTTAGCTTCAGAAGAACTCCCCCCTACTAGTACTAGTCAGGCACGCCACGAAGAGGCAAGATCCCATGTAACACCACCAAGAGGCTTGTGGTGCTGGACAAGGATTTTCCAGAGGTCCACCCTTGCCCGCCTGAATTACACTGCTCAATAGCCAGTTACTTCTGAAAGTAAAACATGGAGTTGTATTACATTTTTTGTGGTTATCATTAATGGCAACATTTTTAAATCCCATGATTTTACTCTTTTTAAAATATTAAAATATGTTAGACTATTACCAATGATGGAAATTTAAAATGACCATATTCTTTAGTACCGTACCAGTACATGAGTTCAGAGATACCTCTTTAGATATGTTACATTAAGAAATGGCGTCAGCGGGGCGAGTCTAAGACTCTTTGTGCCCCCCCCCCCCCAAATTACCCCTCCCTGGTCACGGCCCCCACACGGGCCCCCCACCCAAGTCCCCCGCTTGGGCGCTCGACCAGGACCCCGCCTGGGGGCCGCCCCAACCAGGAGGCACCCGGTCGATCCGACACTATGCGTTTAAACTTAAACAGTGCACTCGATCGACTTTCTCTAGGAGTCGGGATGGAAAAAATTTACGTCCTAATATCTTCCCCCACCCATCCCGGGAAAGCGTCGGACGCCCTATAAGAGGGATTCCACAGTGGGTTTCCACAACGCGAGTAGTTCACGCTGTAGCTGGGACAAAACGGTTGCCTAGGGGCAGCGTTCTCACGGCTGCATTATTTGAATCCTCGACCAGAGGTTACCACCCTCGCCTCTGGCCTCATACCCGTCAACGGCAACTTGTAATCATGATCCCTACCCTGGCTCTGCCTAAATTTCCGACTGCGAAATATCACAACCGGCAGCCCTGTGGGAGCTGTTTTATGTACGGCAGGTACCGAGCACACCCTTTGTCTGCCCACGCGGGGCGTGCCCAGTAGTTCTGTTTCCAGGCAAACGCCGAGGGGGTCGGTGGCCGACGCTTCCTAATCGGCAAGCCACAACAGACTTGTCAACCGTAAACCTGGAACATACCTCTTTAGACAATAATTCTGTTTCACAGTTTTCCCAGCATAGTTCAGGGGCGAGGTAAATGGTTGTGCACCTTTTTAATGAAGATACACGTTAATGTTACCGGTACATACATTTAAGTGGGAGGGAATCTTTAAATTTTAAAAAATTTAAAACTTTATTGTAACATATCGGGCGTGAAAAGGGGTATAATTCTAAGCATAATGGTAACCGGCTATGATTGACACAGGTTAAACATAGCAGCCCGGTCCACACGTTCTATGATTCTATTGGTATTACTAGAGTAGCCTCATACTCATAAGAGAGTGGCATATCCTTGCGCAAATTTTCTTTTACCCGACTTCAAGGCAGTCACGTATATATTATTATCCTTTGTCATAATGGCAATGTAGCTGACATTATAAGAAGACAGAACAGGTTCAATAAAATAAGACTATTTGAATGACAACTACCGGTACCAGTACATTTCGGTTGCTAAGGGACAATCAGGCTATGAATCATGAAACCCTTTTTAAAATGGGGTGTGTTGATTTTAGAGATTTTGGCGTACGCCTGCATATGACCAGGAAAGGGGGCAAAGGGGGGGGGGGTGTCGGCAGAAAGAATGTACATTTACTTTAAATATCGGATTTCTAAAATAATCTTGACATTTTCAGTCCAAAAATAGCATTTTAATATTTTGTGCTGTACCGTAACTGTTACTGTTACTAATATTTAATAAGGTTCCGTACTCCAAAACAATTTTTCAAACTAAACCAACATTTTTTAGTGTTAAAGATGAATGAGCTAAGAATGTGGACATTAAATTTATGACCATTATTAAGAAAGGTGTATTATTTTTTTAAATTCTCTGCTTACCTTTAATGAAAATTAAAGTATCGAATTCACTCATAAACATCATTCATAATATTCATATATAAATTTATAAGAGAATTAAAGATATATACAGGTATGCAAACAATAACTACTTTAGACTGATACTGATACATATTTGACAAATAGCAAAACAGTGGGGTGGTACCTGTAATTTATTTACAAATGTTTCGAAATATAATAAAATAAATAACTAATATCCTCATGTATGTTTGAAATTACTTGTCTTCATATAAAATAAGCATACAAAATACCATTGAATTATTGAATAATATAAACATTTGAAAAAAGTAAAGTACCGGTACAAAAATTGTTTCTTTGAAAGGCTCAACACATAAAAGATGAAGAGAATAATAAACATCGAAGGGCTCATAAACATAAAACAACATAATACCATACCGGGGTAATGTATATTTTACAACTCTTTGATTAAACATTAGGAAATACCCTCTGGAAGAAAAAAAAATCTTCAAAAACATTGAATATTCCGACAACACCCGTAATTGTAATTATGAATTCAATAGTTTAATTCAGGGGCGATAACATTACCATTAAATAGCAAAAATAATTCAAAAACGATTATTTCTTCAATTTCATTTTTTCTTTATTATTTAAAAAAAAATAGTGGCCAAAGTTACCCCAACATGGGGTTACTTTGGCAGGCTATACACAGAATATACAAAAACAAAGTTTGACAACACTAGGGTTACTTTGGCCACAAAGGTAATTTTTTTAATGTAAAAATTAACACTGAACCATATGTGCGTTTCTTCGGTACTGGTAGCCATTCTTCATCTGAATCAGAAAATGATATGTTGCCCATACTATCAGAATCACTACTTGTCTGATGTTCAGAAAGGTTAGCAGGAAGATCTTGTTGTGGTTGGTCTGCAATTACATTCTCTGTGCTGCTAGGAGAAGGAGAATCATGTGTGTCAGTATCTATAACCTCATCATCAGAAGGCCCAACAGCACTTTTTCCAGGCTCAACATCCAGACGACGCTTCCGTCTCCACGTTATCTCATCCTCTTTACCTGACCGCATCTCTTGTAGGTGAGATACGAATGAATCTGCAACTGATGTGTTGACTGAGTCCTCATTTTCATCATTGTGTGGAATATGCTTCAGGACAGGTTCAGGGTCTGAAGCCTAAAACAAATATAGAGTACCGGTACAGATTAAAATAAATCCATTCTTCGATTTGAGATTACGGGTACTCTAAATTAGATCCAAAATATTTATTTTAAAAGCCTAGGGGCCATCCATAAATGACGTCACGCGTCTAAAAAAAAAGGGGGGGGGGAGGGTTCAGTTTTTTGTAACCAATTCTATTTATTTTATTTTTAAACTACGATCTCTGTCTGACAGAATCAGTAGGCTACAGGTATGTGATGTCCGAAAAATGGCCTCTGATCAAGTTGCAGGACGCCTGCGGGGAGGAAAATCGGGGTGTAGTTACAATGACAGTACCGGGTATTGACAGTCGTGATAATTTATGTCTAAATGAATGTGGAAATGAGAGTCATAGAATTGGGACTAGGGGGCCTACTACATGAAGTGGGATGGAACGAAAATGGTCGACCGCGGGGGGTGGGGGGGGGAATGGGTATCTTAGTAAATGCTCTAGGGCAGGGATTCTCAACCTTTGTTTTGCAGCGCTGCAGGCCGACTCCGTTTTTAACACGCCCCCTCCCCCCCCCTTTTTTTTTCCAAACATATAAATTATATTTTAAAAATTAAATAATTTAGTTATCGCAGTTTTATTTTTTTAATTAACTTTCTATAAACAATGGAAAAAATTACCAATACAAGCATTGCACAAAGAATATTCATCAGAAAAAAACATTTACTGCTGCTCATTAAAATGCATAAAAACTTCTTTAGGAAAAAAAAAAAAAGCAACATCTAGCAATGGCGAAAATACAATCACTGGCGTAGCTAGGGATGATGTCACCCGGTTCAGTAAGCTCGTGGTGTCACCCCTCCTCGACTTTCACGATGTAATTTTTGTTGTTGCGGTATAATATATATACTAGAACAAAAACACATTAATTGAAGTTGAAGGTCGAGAGTTAAATTTATTAAAGAACTGCAACGAACTTAGACTCACCCATTGTTTTCAAAGGATGGTTTCCTGTCACTTACAAAAGTTACCGAACTCTTCATTGGGCGGCGTTGAAACATGGTCATGACGGTGTCTTTCTGACCTAATAATAAGGTAACCTAATTGTCTACGCATCAACCTTGAAATTTTAATAAAACAGGCATTTTGATTGGTTACATGGATGGAAAATGTGCTTGTCATCTGTTATCCTTTTATGAATTTCGTTTAGACCGAGCAGTGCGTGCTCTGTGCTCTGTTTGGTGTCACCCCTTGAGATGGTGTCACCCGATGAGTTCCGCACCCCCTCCCCAACCC